GGCGTTCCCCCGTGCCATACCAGATTTCTGGTCGGGGCTCGGGTTTCGACTCATCGGAGTATGTCGTTGCTAGCGCAATGGACAGGTGGAACGCAAGTGTTTAGTGCTTCCGCACGTATGACAGCGTCTTACTTCATGTTGTCGCTCCGCAAACTGAAGCTCATCTTCACCTTTGTCCTTGACATTGCTGAGATCCATCGGTTCAGGCTTGCAGTAAGCCGAAGTGTTTGTTGAGGTTGCCCTACCAAAGCTTAGTTCCACCCATTTCAACCAAGTCTGGCCCACTTAAAGTTGTGCTCATCTTTCTGAGAGATGCTCACAGCCTATTTAGAGGGGAGAGGTATGGAACCGAAAGACTTCGGTTCTGGCCACGCCGGTGCGAAGACCTTCCATGAAGACAGTCACATAGACTGTCTTAGGAAGAGGTTCGGACTGAATAGCAGCCACTGAAGTTCTCAATTCTTTACATATTCCGTAAGCTCATTCTTACCCTGGCGGGTCGATACGAAGCATGAGCGCACGCGGTAAGCCTAATTAGGCGGCGATAAAACTCGCAGAAGGTCTAACTTGAGCGAATCTTATGTGGGGAACGCCAAGTCGACAGACGTGCCGCAAGTTAGAGCCCAATCTCTAGATCTCCCATAGAGATTAGAAATGGCCAGCGATACTCACTGATTCTCAAGTGAGATTAAGACCGATCTCATGGCCATCTCAAATTCACGGATCCAGAGGGTGAGATTTTCTCCCTCCTTACCGAAGTAATGTGAGACGTCCATTCTAAGGGGACGAGGCTTAGCTCTTTGTCTGGCATAGCCACAAAGCGTGTTGACATAGCCGACGCTGCTTGGTTTTAAACCTGCCCTAAAAGGGCCGTTTCATACTGCATGAAGGTCTCGACTCGTGCATTAAGCACATCGGGACCTTGTGCAGCTATAAACTCCACATATATTGGGCCTACAGCCGCGGTCAGCTTATCCAGCGCGACCTTTTGGGTCTCAGAGAGGGATGTGGATTGCTCCATCCTCACAGAGGATCAGTCGTTACCGACTCAGACGTAGATTGACTACGAGTGCTACCACGTGTAGCGGGGCTACACAGCTCCTTAAGTCAGAGTTAGACTTAACGCTCTTACGAGCAACTTTGGTCCTACGAACCCGACTCAAATAGCCAACAGCTCAGAGAGCTAAAGGGTGGTTCAAAGAAACCGACTCAAAGAGCCAACAAGCTCAAAGAGCTTACGGTCCCTGTTCCAGGGGGACCAAACGATTCAGAGAATCAAACGCACAGAGTGCACAAGGAGTATCTGCCTTAACAAGGCGTTGCTACCTCCTTAACGATCGCAAGACGCCTCAGAGAGGCACGTGTCTTTTGTTGATCAAAATGGGAACTGAATTTTATTTCTTCTTTTAACCTAAAGAACACCGTATAACAAAGTAATTAACCTACCCGCTAATGTCCTAAATAAACCTCTTAAAATATCTCGTAAGCAATTGTTGACAGACATCAGTCTTCAACAATTGATACTGTGTTCTAATATTACTTTAAAGGAGATCCCATCCCTTGTGTGTACCGCACCTATTGTCGACTACCAGTCGACGTGTTACCCCGTTACATGACTAGTGCAAAATTGATCACCTGTTAAAATTTAGTATACAATTGTGGCGTAGTAAAAGGAAAAGCGCCTTAGCACGAACCGACTATTTCTAGTTTGTTAAACGCCTTGCAATCGCGTTGCTGCGCTATGACCTTCGCCGATGTTGCTCATGTGTGGAGAGGCCGATCATCATTATGTGAAATCAGCGCAAAATGACAGCTGGTAACTAGTTAAAGCCATCTCATCGATTTACCGGCCTGGAAGCAACGTTTATCACATCAATATGCAGTATTTGGGTGCTACATAACGAACTTTGACTCCGTCACCTCAATATCGATGGGTTTATGTGTACGTCTAATGCAGATATGTGAGAATATCTATTTAAACACGCGTACATATGTGTGCAAGTACCGGTGCCAGAGTAGGCGCTACTTATCATATAGAAAAGTAAGCTATATCATATGTAATCTGCAGCTTGATTGAGTTGGTATAGTAGTCTCAGTGTATAGAATACCGGCTCGTACTAGGCGGGTGTGAAAGTTAAAGTTCGGGATCTGGTGTTTGGAGTTCTCCAGGACTCTCTTACCAGGAAATGACGTCCTTCGTTTATGACTTATATCCTTCATCGAATCGACATAGGTTCAAGGAGAAAGGAGGTGCCACGAGGGGTGCACAGAGGGTACGCAACAACGGCATTGACCATTTAAACATCGATCTGTTAGAGCGAAGAGATAGAAGCTATTAGGAAAGATGCACTTACAGAATTCTCTTCACTTTTGCGCTTACTCATCCTCCACAAACGCCACCAGTTGAATGTTAAAAATATCGTACTTGTCATTGACGCGAAATTAATGATCCTGCCTCGATGTTGTAAAAACCAGTGATAATTTTGTGTCCAAAAACCGTTTAGCCTTGATGATATGGTGATGGGATCTGGATTTGCAGGCATCAGAGCATTTTAGCACTACTTTGTCATAGACATATGACACCGATAGTGCATCAATTTGTGCGGATTCGGTGCGTACAAATTTAATCATTTCTGTACGTCAGCTTCGCGCTTGCGGCTAGCCTTTACTGTCATAGTGACGAGGTCTCAGTAAAGGTACGAACCTTGCAAAATAGTGTATATACGGATCAGCTAATATGGTGTTGATACGAAATACAGATAAAATAGTAGGGTGCTGTTACAATACTTTGTATATGCCGAAATAATTCGCTATTGCTAATCAAGCCCGGATGTCAAGGTTACACCCGGGTAAGTTGCTGCTGCATGTGCCTTTTTTACAACGTTTCAATGCGCCACGATTGACCCGGGGCAACATTTAATGTAACACGGTGAGCCCAATTCATGAATGGACACCAAATTGGGTCAATGTGAACATTGTTTTAATTGATAACATTCTTTAATATTTACCTTGCTCGTAAAATATCGATGAAATGTTAGATTTGAATGTTATATTCAGCACCGCCTCACTGGTTGGTCTAGGCCATTTTTGCAACCAAGGCGTTAAAAACGCAACCACCAGTCGCTCCTGCACGCGCGCAATGAGTCGTGAGCAATAGTCATGTTACATCTTTGTAGTGTGATATAGTTATGGTAAGATTAAAAGACTATAGTTAGGACGGCCCAAGTATAATTTAAATGGTGTCCTATTTTATCCCTTTACCAAGCACCTCTGCTTTGTAGATAAGGCTTCCTTTGCATGTATGCGTACGTATAGCTTCACGGTCAGTACTCATAATGTGGTCAGTGTAAGTAGCTTGTATTGTCTTGGTGCCATCGAGGGTGCTCCGCGACATATAAAGTGATTTGGTGCTAGCATCGAGCAAAAATATTTTCGTCGGGTGTTTTTGTCAGCAAAGTGGCGGTTGGATTTTTGTAACAACCTTCATCAGAATACGGTGTCATACGTCCTCAATCCTCAAATATTTGCTAACCGCACACCGCTCAAAGCGGACGTGAGTGTGACATATCTGTACAGCGCTAGAGGCGCACAACTGGTGAGACGATAAAGAGATGTAGAAGTGTGCTAGCAAAACGAGGGCACTTGCACTGCACCCACGCAGTCTGTACAGAGGGAAGAATCCAGTTTGGATTAATCTGTTTTCTTTTGCGGAATCACCTGTTGGGAACAAAGTGTGGAAGGAACAACCGTAGCTTGTCAAGCGAACAAGGATATGTTAGGATATGTTAGTCAGGATAATACCAGCTCGCGCTCAAGTTCCCAGCACCTCAAGCCCTTCCAATAGAAAGCGAAACGTTTCAACTCAGCAAAATTGAATAATAGAACGCATATAAGTTTACTGCAAACACTCGCATAATTAGTGAGCTCCACGGCGCCTGGAAATATAAAAGTTATAGTTCATTTTGAGCAACGAAAATGCGGTGACAAAGGACAGGTCATCGCAAAGTTTGCCGGCACCGTGTCGACTTTTGAAGTCAGTCAATTAGCATATGTATGTACAGGGCGCAGCTAATCGACTGAATGAGCCGAAGTTGCAGGTTCACTCGATGTATCTAAGGATAGAGACTGCATCTGTTGACATGTATTTACAAAGTGTCGAATGAAGAATTTTACCCCCCGGTGATGGCTCACCTTCTAAGATAGAGCAAGCATATTTTATTCGGCAATTGGCACAAGAAATTGAGGTCGGTCGTTTGTTGATCAACCTCTGCGACATCGAACCGATCCTTGCATAATGTAAGACGGCGATATTCGCCACTGCGATGAGATGCATGTGTTGACTCATTACACAACTGTTGTATAGCATACCTTCTACATCTATGCGATGGGTGACGGAGAAATATATTAAAGAAGAATGGTCTTGATCAGTGGAACGATTGCATGGTCCGATACTTAGTCATTACCTTGCAATCTTCGGAATACCTATTATGTGAAACCTCCTTGTTTGAGCCAAATCCACCAGTGTTGAGTCATGTTGGCGCTGCACATCGGTATTTGAATATGATGCTCGATGAGTAATGTTGCAACATATTGTCCATCAAGGAAGGATTCCAGAGTTCTAAAAAATCGCGGAGACCTGCTGCGAGTGGCAAACAGGGATATATAGTAGTTGTGTAAACGATATGCCACTGACGCATTCAAACTCTATTGGTCGAGCACACAGCGTCGTCAAGGCTTCAACTATGCGCGGACGTCACTGTATGAAAATACCGATCCAGATATTTTCTTTTTCTAGGCGTGAAATATTCGATCAAATATTGTCCATTTTAGATAGAGAATCCAGTTCTTATGTACGGCCTACTGACCTAAATCAGTAGGATGCATCGGCGTAGACATCACAGCTGCATCGCCCGGGCATATCTCGTCACATGCGATCGATTCGAAAATAATTATTCTTTGCTTAACATCATGAACCTCTGCTCCGGTCGATGACGCTAAGGTCATAACGTTGGTGTGTGTCCACATACCAAGCATGTAGCAACCATTCTTTCGTTAACGAGGGTGCAGCGAGGACATGCCCACTGCTGCATGCGATTGAATTGCAGCCGAATGGGATTGGACGACATTAGTAGCATCTCCAGCACGTCAAATAGTTCTTCGTTTTCCAACACGTGCCCGTTGATACCCACGAGGATATCCCCCTTGTCGATCGCCCCGCTAGCTTCAGCGGGTAGCTTAGAGCCGACACCATTCACTTCGAAGCCCGATACAGTAAACGCCGCTTTAGTGTCCGGCGCTGTCGACGCAGAGTGACTGCCGTTACGTGTACTTTTGTCAAGAAGCAAACCAATTCCACCGTCTGAAGCATGCAGGCAAACATCAAATACTTTCACCGGAGCTTGAGATACTTGTGTTGCTGCTTCATCGCAAGTTGTCGATACAAGCTTGATCGAGCCAGGTTGGGGTGGGGTGTCTCGCAATTCTTTAATGCATGGCGTCGCATCTTCAAAAATCTTGTCACGGTTCACATCAACTTCCTTCTCAGCGGGGCGGCGGACGGAGTAGTCACGTAGGCGAATAGAGCGCTGCATCGATTGAGACATCGCCATCCGCAATGCTGCTCGACCGTCAACCGGAGTAGACGCCGGACCTTGGTTCTTACACAACATCCCGTTGAGCCTAGACAAAGTGTCTCGAGCGGACTTGTGGGCCATATGCAGATGAACATCTTCGTCGCGCCATCCGTCATCTGTTTTTGATTCAGTATGGACAGGCATTGATTTTGGTACTTGGAACGGTAGCGAAATCGGGCTTGTTGGCAACTTCCCGGGTCCAGCAGGAGTCAACAAGGTGAGCGGAGACCCCTGAGCCATTCGAACACTTTGCTCCATTCTTGCAAGCAGCTCGTCCTCAGTGTCTCGACCCAAATCGACTTCGTGCGGAGCCCCCTTGCCAATCATTTTCACCTTGCCAGCAGAGTCTTTTTCCTCATGCATCACAGCGTCATCCGATTCATTCGCAGATGCAGCCCACCACGAGTGAATCTCGGTAGATATCTTCTCGAGATACTCTTGCTCGATTCCATTGCGTTCGTAAAACAGCAGCGTCGGCTGGTAACCTCCGCGCTCAATGCGTAGTCGGACGTCAGCCCACGTCCCAACAAGTTTAACCCGCGTATCATCAAATAAGAACCAGCGCTCACACTCGCGTCCGTTCTCGTCCAGGCTCCGGCTAGCGAAGAATCCCACATAGTGCCGTCCGTAATAGCAGACAAGACCTCGAAACGAGTACGTCGACGACACCTCCGTCGAATTATCCAGTCGAAAGATGCGTCCTAAATCCAGAGCTTGCTGCGCTTCTGCGTCCCTATTGGATGCCGCACACTGCGACGACAAAAGTTCCATCCAGTCCTTAATGTCAGTCTTGTGCACGTGACTGCTGGACCAGATGATACTGATGGAAAACACCATGGGCAGCGTGAGGATCCACCTGCTCAGCGCTCGCGGTCCGCCACGTTCACACACGTCACAAGTTCCAGCCACATCTTGAGTCTGTGCGACCACGTGCAACGCTTCCTCCAGCGTCACCTTCTTTTGCTTCTCACCGACCGACCCAGCTCGTGCACTGTTTAGTAACTCTTGCGCATAGACTCGATACAGAAAGTCCGTGTTCATTCCCGGCTCGGCCGTATGCCCACACACGGTACAGACTTTCAACTCCATGAGATTCATCTGAAAGAGGCGGTGGGCCACACACTGCGGCTCGCAGATGATCGACGCTGCGTCTTGTCGAAGAGACTCGGACATGTCGGCGACTCGATGGACGTCACTGATCGAACCGTTGCGGTGGGCCCCTCGACGACGGAGCGCCAGCATCCGGTTGAACGTATCGTGGTGAAGGGCGTCGAGGATCGTCTCCAGCGTCTCCGTCGCGTCGTTCATCGCGCCGAGCGCGAACGTGTCGCCCAGCGCCAGTCGCACGCGGTCCACGTCCAGGACCGACTGCTCGGCGAACTGGTACAGGACAAAGACCTGCTCGAGCTCGCACAAGAGACAGGGCAGCACGACGGACGCCACGTGCGCCGGCGGCCGCTCTTTTCCGCGAGCAGCAAAGACGTCGCCACTGCAGCGGTGATGCGCCGCGTGGTCGCCGCGGGCGATGAGCACGCGGAAGCTGCGCACGTGCCACAGGCTCTGGATCACGACGTTCAGGAAGCAGTTGTTCGCGCCCGAGTCGTTGCACAGACCTTTCCGCGCGCTCAGCGGCTGCGACAGCGACATTGGGAGCCCACGAGCGATAGTGTCGTCCAGGCGGGAGGAGCCGGCGACTCGATGGACGACGGACTGGAGCAGCAGGTGGCGTCACTGTCTTTTCTTCCACTGTGCGTCGTGACATGTGCAGCAGAATAAAACGCCGTTTTTTTCAGATATCGGGCGGGTGGCCAGAAAAACAGTGCCGCGAGGGTCGAGTATACGCAGGTATACACTCACGGATCCTCCGTCCTGTATCTGACTTTCGCTCGCCTTACGGTCCCGAACGCGCATCACTTTGCGGGATTGCAAATGCTCTTTGGCTCCACGTTTACCGCGCATCAATCCGAGGGAGAAGAAGGTCACTTGACTTGCTTCAAGCGATGCAGTCACAGGCTAACGAGCTGCCTCTCATGCTTTTTGGAACGAATCGCTGCCACGAGCAAAGCTGGACACTTGTGCCACAACGAACATGACGTCTTTGGCGATGCATGGAGAGCTCCACGTCAACGTGACGCGGCGCCTTATCGCCTGCTTCATACTGCGGTGGATAGCCCGGTCTGTACGTCGTTTAGCTGCATGTTGGATGTCAAGCGTGTCGTAGAGCTCCTGAGCCAGCACGACTCAGGCTTATCTTGTCAATTTGTCTGACTACGATGCGGCTGTCCATGTATGCAGTGTGTGTCGGCCATCTAGTGGAGAGAGCTACACGACGCCGGACCGCGATAGTCCTGACTGGACAGGTCGACTCCGTCGCGTGTGTGAGACTACGACAGCCTCACTGTTTGATGATATCTCAACACTGCAAACATCGTTTGCAATCATTAGGGTGGAGGCGACCGTGATGTCGGTGGTCAATCGACACTTTTTCGATCAACGACAGCAAACGGGACCTGCGCAAGTACGATCCAACGAGAGAGACGTACGCCAGCCACATAGTCGTGTCCGATCGTGTAAAGGTGCGATCGCGATACAGCTCGTAGATATGTTTGATTGGTTGGAGGGGCAGAATAAGGTGAAGCAAACGGATACGATAGGGTATGCGACCACTCGGTTTACTTCAACTGTAGGACGGTATGAGAAAGCGGAATGCAACAGCTGCTGACGCACTCGCTTTGCCCATGCGTCATAAATGTCTACGGAAGTAGACTCGATGTGGTAGCTACGGATTTCTTATCCGCTCGTATTTGCTACAGCATAAGAGTCGGATCGACATCTCGTTGGCCTGGGGCTGTATTACGTAAGCTGACTTTCCGCGTTAGAGCCATCACCTCTTTGTCAAAACCTCCGTACAGTTGCACCATTCTGAACACTCCTCGTACTGAAAACACCATCGTTTGCCTGAGTTTGTGTATCAGAAAGGTCACATACAAATTCCCACTCAAATTGCTCACTTGTGGCCAACAGTTTTTTCCAGACCATACAAAGTCGACGAGACGCGTGGGACTTTTCTGCCGACAGTCGTCATGAGGGGTGGGTGGGTCTACGTCTGCCAAAAAAGATGCAGGGGAGAGGGGAGGGGGCTTCAAGGACAGGCAACAACAGGCGCCACAACTGCACTTGCTCCACGCAGCACACACAGCACATCTTTCCACTCGCCACCGGCCGATCGACCTCCGCCTCAGGACCGCAATCCGTACAAAATGGCCATCGTACTGCCCTTTGCATCGCTGACCTCGAGCCACAGCGCCAGTGTGGTGCTGGCTGTCCAGCAGCCCTTCGCCTCTCACGGCACCAAAAAACGCCCATTGGCACTCTTTCGTCTCGTAGACGACACGCTCAAAGTCCCCCACGAGGATGACGCTGCAGATCCTGAGCCGACACTTGATCGTCCGTCGATCCTCTATGCTGGGAAAGGCCCACACGACAAGGCCATTGACAAGGCCATTGACAAGGTCAGTGTTGACATTGATCCGTACGAGTTGACGCTGCTCACAGTCGTCGGTCGTGGCACCTTTGCGCGTCAAGTGGCGCTGGCGAAACACAAGAACACAAAGAACCTGTACGTCGTCAAGACGCTTGATAAGCGCGCACTGCTTCAGCGCAAACAAGTGGTACACACGCTCACGGAGAAAAAGGTGCTGGAGAAACTGGACGGCCACCCGTTTATCGTGAAGCTTTACTCGGCCTTCCAGACTGAGCGCGACCTGCATTTCGTGCTCGAGTACTGCCAGGGAGGCGAGCTCTTTTTCCACTTGCAACAGCAACACTCGCACAACTTTGACGAACACGCGACACGGTTCTACGCTGCAGAAGTGCTGGCTGCTCTGAGTGACCTCCATGCTCGTGGCATCGTTTACCGCGATCTAAAGCCCGAAAACGTCTTGCTGGATGCTCAAGGCCATGTGAAGCTGACGGACTTTGGCTTTGCCAAGCAGGATATGAAGGCTGGACAGCGCACGTATTCATTCTGTGGTTCACCCGAGTACCTGTCGCCTGAGATGGTCAAGAAAAACGGCCACGGTATCGAGACCGATATGTGGTCGTTTGGCTGCTTCATTTACGAGCTCCTCACCGGCTCGCCACCGTTCCGATGCGACAACATGCTCCGCCTCTTCAGGTTGATTGAGCAGGGGCGGGTATGGTATCCACCCTTCCTGTCGGGTCACGCCATGTCACTGCTCAAGGGCTTGTTGTGCACCAACCCCGCCGGTCGTCTCACTGCCGCTCAAGCCATGGAGCACCCGTTTTTCAAGCTGTCTCTGGACTGGCGTGAGCTCTATCAGCGCCAAGTCACACCGCCTATCGTGCCAGTCTGTCGAGGACGCGAGTCCACCGAGAACTTCGACGAAGATTTTACGACTGCACACGTGGTCTCGCTGAAGCTGCAACCGGGTGATGTCCTAAAACGCCTGCGACGTGACGACTGCTCGGGGCCAGTCGCTGGGGCTGACGAGTTCCAGGACTTTTGAACACTCGATGTTTAGCTGATGGAAGCGTTTCGTGGCAGCTATGAAAGGACCGCTGAGCAGTTTCATCGCAGTTGCTGCTGAGCTGAGTAAGGCAGATAGATAACTTCGGTCGTGCACGCATCACTGTGGACGACACATCGTTCAATCGTGTCTCGTATTTCTAAATGTACAAACGTATTTAAGTTGTGCCACAACTTTTCGGTATCGCGTGTTTACCGTGACCCGAATTTGTGTCGGCGTCGTTGAAAATGCATGTCTATTTTTCTACGTCAAAAGCTATGGCAGACAAGGACTCTACTCCGGACATCGCAGCAGCGCCTCAGTCGCCTCCTGCTGAGTCTTCCGACGCACCCGCTTCAGTACCTTCTGATACTACATGTCCTCGACCTCTTTCGCATGAACTGAATCTACACAGTGATGGTGTCCGTCCACTCGTAGGGCTCGAGCTGCCTGTATATGGCTCTGACATGGTCAAAGTATTGGAGACTGTAGGTGGACTACAGAGTTTGCAAAAAGCACATGAAACCAAGAACCAGTTTCTTCCGGTTAAGCTGCGGCCAGTAGAGCCTTCGTGCAAGCCGCTCTTTGCGGACCTGACCAAGACGCAGATGGTGTTGCTGAGGGTGAAGCGGTCGCAGGTCAACCGACATCGAAGCGAGATGGCAGCCGTCGAGGAGACGAAAGCGAATAGTAACGAACTGGAGAAGTCTACTGCCGATCTCACAAGGTTCTCAGTCCAAGTGGTGGGGCTGATCAAGGAAAAGTACGTGTGCGAAGGCATGGCGGACTTTCAGTACTTCACCGCCCGGGAGTTCTACCCAACGTGCAAACCAGACAAAGATGCACTCACTGTGGTGGTAAATGCGACAGAAGCAGTGGAGACAGCGGTGATGAACAGTGCAGTGGTGGAGAACGGTCCTTTGTCCAGACCGTCGTTGCGACAGAGAGAACTGCAAGACTGTTTGCGACCGTATCTGGCGGTAGAGAATGAAACACAGCTCGAGCTCATTCCCGAAGTATTTTCGAAGGTAGATCTACCGCTGAAGTATGAGTTCCGCCAGAAGTCAGGGTACCAGCCAACAGCCACTACGAAGAAACCGTCTACTACAATGACGTACCTGAACTTTCATGACGACACGCCTGCACCTATCGAACCTAAGCCAGAGAAACCTGTGGTGCGACGGAGATCTGTGGGCGTGGATGATAATGGTGTTGATGCACACGTGATGGAGATGCTGGAGGATAAACTTGCAGAGAAGCCGGTTTGGCTTCGCTCCAAGTTGTTCAATGGACTGGACGGATGCGAGCGCCGAGCTGCAAGACGTTTGCTGCGAAAGCTTTGTTACGTATTTGTGGACGGACCCTGGAGAGGGTCGTGGATCAAGATGGGTTACGACCCGAGGTCGATTGAAGTGTCGGATACAGCGTCATGTTACCAGGTTGTTGAGCTGCGAAACAACCGCGAGCTTATACACTCCAAGGTCACCCATGCTACTAGAAAACGCGTCAAAAAGTTTGCCGGTGCTAGTTTAGGGAACGCATGTGGGGATGGTGGACACGTGAAAGCTCCGCGAATCGTCAAAGTGACACAAACTTCGGCGCTCGAGAACGCGCAAGCCAGCAAACGTCGTCGTAAGGAACGATTCACTCGGGGTGAGACACGGCGCTCCTATCTGGTAGAGCCAACTCTGCCTGAAAGCGCATTTGGCGCAGCACCCACAATCGCTTCTTCACCTTGCGCAGGGTCTTTGTCATCGACCGTAAACTCGTGCAATGACTGGGAATCGGAGGACGAACAAGACGACAAAGGGTCCGACGCGGAGCAAGAGAGCGCAAACAATGCAAATCGATTGACTGCATCTGCAAACACAGCTCCGGGGAACAGCGAAAAGATTTTCGAGATATTCGGAGTGCAGCTGTCCAGTGCCAACGTGTTGTTTCAGCTCGAAGAAATCGATGACGATGAGGTGCGCGAGTGGATTGCTCAGTTCGCAAAGCAGTCAAAGCCATCATTGCTCGGCGGGTGGTACCCAACACAGATGTTTCTACCGCTACGCGAGATCATTCGACTTCGCATCGCTGCAATGGTAGGCCGATCGAAGGCGGAACTTGACACGAGACGCAAACGTCTGGACGCGCTGAAGAAGCAGGCGCTTGCTGAGTATGCGGACAGCGTTCGGTCAGCTAGCAAGGACCAGCCGTCCAGCCGATCCGGCATCGCTTCAGTATCGGTCACCACACGTGGCAACTTTGTCGAGGCAGCAGCAGTAGCCGAAGATGAGGAGGGGGAGGAGGAGGAGCACGCGTTCGAGAAGTCTCTGATCCGAGAACGCAGTGCGACGTCCAACGTGGAGAAGCTGTCGGTAGGAACGGAAGCAGAAAAGGCTGAAGAGGAGGACGAGGACTTGGACGAGGACATGGACCTGCAAGAAGACGACGAAGAGGACAACGATAACGTCAGCGCAGGTCGCTCGCGCGCAGCGTACGACGAAGATGAGGCGTTGGACGACGACGACGACGAAGAGGAACAGGCAGAGAATGTTGCGGTGGACACGCAGCAACTACCGAACGGCTCTTGTGTTGCTGCCGACGACAAAGTCGAGTCCACCGAGTACTCTTTCTAACCTATTTCTGACCCATTTCTGACCCATTGCTGACCCATTTCTAACCCATTTCTGACCATCACTTGCTGAAGCGCGTCACGTTGTCGGTTTGGCGCAATCATTTGCTTGCAATCGTCAAATGAGGAACAAACCCATCAACATGTTTTTCCTGTGTCTCGGTTCTGTGCACTCGACGCCTCTGTGCTCGTCCAATCGACGTACGGTATTGGTACCTCGATACCTTTTCAGCCAATCGTAGTCGTCCATTCGCGAAAGCCATACAGCTCTCGTCCAGTTACCAACTGTCGATCGTCATGGGCGACACTACGAACGGCCTCCATTACGGTCAGAAGCTACGGCTCGTCACGCGCTCGGTCTATGTCGACGAGTCGATTGCGACGACGACCACCGAGCTCGGCATTGGATACTACGAGAAGAACGGCCGCCACGGGATCCTCAGCTGCGTCCCACCGCTTGGACCGAGTTGCCAGCACCTGTTTGCGGAGGACGAGTTTGTGGTCGTGCGTCCCAACAGCAAACGCTCGAGCGACGATCGGGTTTTCTATGGCGATCCGCTCGTGCTCGTGAACCAGCACGGAATGGTGTGGAACAATAAGACGGGCGGGATCACGGGATACGTCGGGCCTCGACCACGCGGTGTCTCTGGCGAAATGTTTGTGTGCTTTACGAGAGTCTCAGCCGATGAAGAGCTGGACAAATGCCGCAAGCGAGATAAGGGAAACAAACGGGACCAGCTGAAGGCGTCGATTGTGACGTCTGCGCTGTCCATGTCGGGCAGTTTATCGGCGGCGGAGAATTGCACAGCCGAAGCAGGTCCAGTGTGCTTCGGTGACTCGGACGTTGCAATCACCGTCGTCGAGTCGAACCGTCACTCGCAGATGTTCAATAAGAGGCTCAGCAATTACAAAAAGGCTACGAGCCGTATTGCAGGAGGCTACATTTGCTGCGATGGCAACGGCACCGAGTTGCGGTTTTCTATCTTGCCAGCTAAGCCCAAGATTGAGCGGATTTCCATGATGGATCGAATCATTACGCCGTATAATTATGGACAGAAGATTGCGTTGCCGCTGGGGCTGCTACGCAGTACTATGAGCGGGAAAGGTGCAGGGCGGCCAAGCAGGATCGAGCAGAAGGACATCATCTTTCGATGTTCGAATGGAGCGGAAGCTGTGTTGTCAGGGACGCTGTTGCAGCAGAAGGTGCTGACACATGCCAAGCATCTTGGTACCAATGATGAAGAAATTGAATCGGTTTTTGAGCTGCCCCTTCGGAACGCACCAGGTGTACTGGTCGTGCGTCTCACGGGTGTTTCACCTCGGACAAAGCTGTCGGGAAACAACAAACAGCACCTGTCGACGCCCAGGACCAAACGGGGTGTGGCAGTATTGTACTATGTGTCCGACCTGCTTCAACTTTTGCCTGTGCCTATTTTTGCGCTAGTCTACGCAGCAATCGCGCGTTTACTTTGGGGCACTCTCAACATGACGGGAGGCGGTTTGCGTCACGAAATCGCGGTACTGGTTTTGGTAATTCTGCCAGCCATGTACGCTGCGGTGAAGGTAGACCATCCCTTTTCAGCACTATTCCATTCCCCTGTCTATGAGCCAGAAGTTCATGACACCTCAGACATTGGAGTGGGTCGGGCTAGTGATACGTTGAAGCTCATCGTGAAAGAGTACCGCTTTCTGTCAGCGAGCGGCGTCAATGCTAACAGAAACGATGGCAAAGTGAAATTTGCACAAGCCCCAGATGTTATGAATGGAAGTACGGTTGAACACTCAAGTGCGACAGCGCTAGAGGCCACGGGGTCGATCCCCAAGCGGTTCATCCTTGCCGAAAAGGGTGATCAGGTGAAGGCGCTGGAGAGGTACAATGAAACTACCAAGTGGCGACGCGAGCAAGGCATTGATTCTATTTTAGAGGAGCCCAACCCGTATTTCAGGATCATCAAAGACAACTACCCGCACTATTATCACAAACGCGGCAAAAATGGCGAGCCGGTGTACTACGAAAAGCCAGGCAAGATAAATCTGAAAGCTCTCAAGAACGCAGGGCTTACGCTGGACGACTTGATGCACAACTTACTCATGATCACAGAGTTTTTGTGGCAAGTGATTGAGCAGGACGACAACGGTAAGGGCATTTCCGTTTTGGACGTTGACGGAATCGGTATCTCGGACTTTGCTGGCGAGGCTGTTGAGTACGTTCGCAAAGCTGCTTCTCTTTCTGGCAAGCACTATCCGGAACGCTGTGCGTACATTTACGTGATCAATGTGCCATCCTGGTTCAGCATGATTTGGAACTCGGTCAAGGGGATGGTGGACGACGTGACTCGTGAAAAGGTTATCATCGTGCGCGGCAAGAAAAACATATTCGAGGCGCTGTCGGAAAGAATCCCAGTCCACAACATTCCCGTGGAATATGGTGGGACCAGTGACGGCAAGTCTTCGGAGGAAGATCTGCTGTACAGTCTTATGGACTACGTCAACAACAACGAGGGTGCGCCGGCAATGAACCCGATTGCAGAGATTTTGAAAAGGAAGCCCACTAAGCATTAGTCGTTGCCCTTCTTCTAGTTTGCGGTTTGAAAACTGGAGCATCTCGTGTTACAATCGAACATCTATTATTATTGACTGCTCTCTGTATTCTTAGAGTTTGCTGCAGTGCCAAATCTTGATGGTGAGGTGTCATATTACCGTGCCGATGTAGCCACTTGACTGTCGGAATTAGCATAGTAAGTGTGACGTGCCGCAAACAAAGAATAAGCAATTGACGTGCCCAACTACAACAACACCATATGCGAACAAATTCCAACTAGCATGAGACGGGTCAGCTCTTCAGCAAAGCTATATCATTGGAGCACCCTATGAGTGCAGCAAGCCCCTGAGCTGGAAAATAAATACTGAACGACGCAACGCTTTTTTCAGCTTGCGCACTATCGTCCGATAAGCAGCGCACAATGAATGCAAATCTATAGATCGATCTGCTAACAAGCTCGTTGCGTCAACTTTGAGGCCCATTTTCATTGGCCGTCGATCATTGGTCCGTTGATAGAGGTCCCAACGATATGACCTATCAAGGATTCACGCATGACAAGAGAAACGTTTCTTGAGCAGTTGACACCAATTTTACGTATCTTACTACAGAACTTGTTAGGTCGCAACTGTAGTCACTCGATCGTTAGACGAGACGTATTGACAATCGAATCACGTTTTATGGCTACATACGCCGCAAGGTCAAGCTACTGTCGTGCATTAGCTGTGTCTGCATGTATACTTGTAGAGCGTCGTTGGTGGATACTGCTCCCCAAAGTGGTTTTTTCGATGAGTGAATGATGCTGTTCATGTTACAAGGAATCGGCACAGAATGGTCTCGAGAAACTACATTACGGACACCCTACGAAGTCGAGGATACCGATTACCAGCACGCCTTTCAGCACAACGAGACTGACTCGATTTTGCCACTGCAACAACAATAACAATCATCAGATCTGCACTTATGATATGACGGTATTCTGTGCACATCGATGAAGTGAAAGCGCAATCATGCATGGAGTGAAGACGAGTAAATACGAAAGGCTTACTTTTTACTACGATAAATTAAGAGAATCGTTATTTAGCCCCAGTTTTTTTTATAAATTAGCCCTCACCTTCCACAAAGTAATAGATTACGTGGAAATTATGGTCTTTGGTTAATTCTGACATATACGACGAAAACATTCAATAAAATCACAATAACAATCGGGGATCTACAAATGGTATACTACTTGATTGAAGCCTATATCGAATGCTACAGCTGCACGTGTTGTTCGTGCCGCTGTCGCTTCTTGCCGGCCGTTCCTCGCATGATAGCCTGTCGATCGGCAGATCCTACATCTTTGACGATGCATAGAAGCACTCAAAACAGCGGTAACATGCTCAAACTTCGAAGAAGTCGCTGTGTTGAACTCGATGGCCTACCACGCGTGCGCACTTAGCACGAAAATTCGAGTTTCGATCTCCGGGACTTCCACGATATAGATAAGCAGCACGGGCTTAAACACATCCTCTAACTCATCAGACATCCTCTCAATTGTATTGGCTGTACCAGCCACCAATGCTGATCAAAAATGTAGCCGACAGCAGTATCACGTGATGACGAACAGCATGGGCGCAAAGATATCCCGATGTGGATGTCAACAAGCCAACAACAAAATCAAAGCTGTGGTTAGTTGCACTTCGTCGCGTAAACTTGCACTTAGTCACGGTCTACATACCTTGACAATTTCGGCCATCACAAAGACGCTGCTGGTACTGCCGATGAGCTGCGCGCAGACCTGCTCCGGAGAATTACCCCCACGTCAGAGAACATGGCACCAAGCTGCATTTGACTATGTCCTGCTGCTTGCATTGCCGCAGAATGACAGCAAGCTGGCCTTCACAGGCAAAGTAATTGCCGAACCACTAAATGTAGGTCCTCTGCAACATATAAATTGTCCGATGCGTATGACTGTTGCCACCATAGTCAGTATTCAATATAGCGTACCTGTAACGGGGCGCTGGTAGCTACGCACTGACAACAGTGTTAGTTAGTGCCCTGCTACCTCACGTACATGTGCAAAGAGGGAGGCAAACTACGAAGACGATAGAACTTTGTAGTGGTAAAAGTAAAACTGTAACGGGGCAGCCCGTTACATGATATTGTCACTTAAGGAAAGTGACAATAAATAATATAAGATGGATATTCTTTAAACAATATCACCAAAGTGGTGATATTGAAGGGTCGACCAAAGGGTCTGTTCATTGGTTGATATCGTGATGATATCAACCCACCAATCGCCGCAAGACGCGCGCAATGAGTGGTGACGAGACGTCACCATACATGCAGTTATATTAGTATAATTGAATTAAGTCAAACGAAGAGACAGTAGTTTAAAGACTTAATTTATTAATATAACAGTTCTACTTTTACCCTACCTACGCTTCCTCGCTCGCCACGTGTACGTCCGTCGGGGCACCCAAATCCCTTGCGTTAAGTTACGCAAGGGTGTGCCCCGTTACACCTGGTAGCACTTCGTAGTCCTTCCAAGGACCACATCATCCAACATGAACATGTTGGATGAAGAAGACACCTTTCACGCCACGCGTGAAGGGTTTACCCATTTGAGTGACATCGAATGGGGTGCGGTAGAACGAATGAGTTCTACCGTAGGCGAACTCGTCGTCAGCACCATGTTGGAGTCTCTAGACAGAGACCAACAACATGCTGCTATCGCCAAGTTCATTCACAATGAACTTGCTCTCGAGAGGGAGAAAGTAGCCTTGCTTCACCAGCAAGGCTCTCAACAGGCCGAGCAGTTGAGAGAACTCGGTGCTCAACAGACGGAGCTGTTGAGACAGCAGCAATTCCATGCTGCTGTGGGCGGGACGGCGCATGCGCGTCGTCCCGAAGTGATGAAAGTCGACATCTCCAAGTACAGTGGAGTCCCGGAGGACTCCCTGTTACTATGGTTTGTCGAACTCGACAGAGCCCTAAGGGCTCGTCGCGTCGAAGATGAGCAAATGAAACTCACATTTGCTCAGACCCACTTGGCAGGGCGTGCCAAAACTTGGTCCCTGGGACTCGAGAGTAGCGACCCAAATGTTTTTAGGTCGCTAGATGACTTCAAGTCCCGGCTCAGACAAACGTTTGAGCCGCCACGTGCTGAGTTCAGGGCTCGTTCAGAGCTCCTGAAACTCAAGCAGGGTAAGCGTGATGTGCACGCTTACGCACAACATATACGACTCCTTGCGAGTAGTATAACTGCAAACCCAGTTCATGAACACACGTTGATTACGGTGTTCATGCAAGGGCTCGCAGAAGGGCCCGTCAGGAGCCACCTGTTCCGCCTTGAGCTGAATACGCTTGAAGAAGCGATATCAGCCGCGGAACAGGAAGACTTTAGCATGAGACAGGCTCATGCTAGCTCAAACTCTTACCGTCCACCGAGACGACAAGAGATCGGAGGTCCAGAACCAATGGACCTCTGTTATGTTGAGAGCGAGAGACCTCGCTCTACAAGCAACAAGCGATTGCAGAGGTGCAATCGCTGTCAGAAGTTAGGGCACTACGCATACGAGTGTAGTGCTCCGCGCCCAGTACCAAACAGTACTGAGCGAAATGGACGACCATTCGCCAGAAAGGGCAATGGGCGTGGGTCCAGCGCTGTTGCGAAGCCGCAACAGCGAGACGGGCCATCAAAAAATGGTCGGGGTCAGTAGGGGCGGAGCGCCCTACTGATCCAGCAACCTCAAGAGAATTTGCAAACCTTTTGACGAAAGTTGCTCCAGATACACAATCATTGTGTGTCTCTGCACCTGGTGATGACGTTTCGCTCATCACCTTGAAGTTGGAAGCGACAAATGACTTGTCGCTTCGTGCCCTAGTAGACTGTGGGGCGTCGAACAACTTTGTTCGTCGCCAGTCACTAGAGGGTCGTAGGCTCAAGTTCGTTGAGCGCGACATTCCCCTCACAAGGATGACGGTGCGCCTTGCAACAGGCGCATCGATAACCGTTGAGAAACGTGTAGTAGGAATCCACTACACGTTAGAGGGCGAGCAGTACGATGATGATTTCATCGTACTAGATCTGGATGACAAATTTGATGTCATCCTGGGATTACCTTGGCTCAGAAAATACGAGCCAAGGGTGAGCTGGCAGCATCGATCCGTGAAGATGCCTGCTGCTTGTTCATCAGATGGCCATCTGATGAACATCTTGGAGCGTCCACAAGCGTGTGGGTGTTCTGCGAGTGAGTGCGATGGCCTCACTTGCGGTACGGTCGTTAGCACGACTGCACAAGGTCACAGTGTAGTTGATCACTACACTGTGGAGCAAGCTCCCGGCGGCTGTACAGAAGTACAGGCTGCGCCGAAGGTCCACCACTCGAATAAGTCGAGTGGACCGGGACATGGATGCATGCCTAGCGGGCAGCATCTTAGAAGAAAGAAATCTGTTGCCCCCAAGGGGCAACATGAAAATCCTAGGTCGACTGGAGAGTCGACCGTGGAGGATCGGTTCCTGACTGTGGTTGCACAGCCACAGTCGGAAGACGTCGAGGGAATAAGTCCCCACGTACTTGAGGAAGGAGTTCCTCAAGAGTTGCTTGCTGAGGGATCAGGCCCTCAGCAACCTGTGGAAGCAAGATCCCAGGAAGAAACCGAGACGTTGAACGTCTTGGTTAATGACGGATCAAGCGTAGGCGCTTATACGCTTGATCTGATTGTGCCTCCGAAGTTGACTTCGGAGATAACTCAGTTGCCAACGCTAGAACCGAAACGGTTCTTGCGTGATCTGCGTAGTGGCAAAGTCAAGCAGATCTGCGTACTCGTCACAGAGGACGAGTATGTGACCGACATTCGGTCGGCAACAGTATTTGCTGAGAACGAACGGGTTCTCAGCAGCTCATCGATGGACGAAAGTGTCCTCGATGAGAAGACTCGGATTGAGCGATACGCGTCCCAATCCTGGGAGTCACTTCAGGCAAATCCTTTGTATAAGGATTTGATCGAATTCAGGGATGTGTTCCCTGAATCCGTA